TCCAAGAGTCCAGCAGCCTGCGTCGGCGGAACACAAGACACCGCAATCCGAAGTTGGTGCTGGCTATCAGCACGTCGTGGGCAATCCAAGCGAGGTCAGCTACTATGATCATGGCACAGGAAGCCCGCAAGCCAAACCCGTCATAATTTCACTCTATGTGCTGATGGCCGGCTTTCAAACGCTTTGTCATGATGCACCTTTGACCATCGCCATGAACCAGCGGCTAGAAACTGCAGGTCTAGCCGTGTACTAGAATCTAGGAAGTCATCGTGGAATAGCGCCCGAACTCAAGCTTCGGCCAGAAACGTCAAACAACCCTTTATGCAGGAGCTCAGAGGTTTTGAAAAGGGGCTAAAGCCCCGGCCTGCGCCGAACGACGTCCCTAATCAAGACCACAACTCAAGCCAGAATGAACTCCTGCTAGAAATCGCAAGTGCGCCTGAATCTTTCTCCTGATCGCTCGTGCTCGTGCCCTTGCACGCTCAGGGCTCAATGGAGACCGCCTGAAGGCCCTGATGAACTGTGCCATTCGAATCCTCGAAGACTGATTCGGACCTCGAAGGCAGAGCGACACATGCAGCGATCCAAGTGATCTGAAGGCCCGAGCGAGATCCATGAACGCATCGCCTGATGTTCTTCATGGAGATGCGGCATGAAGCACGTGAAGGCTGCATAGACGCATAGACAAGCCAAGATACTGGTCCCACAGCAACAGGCTACCCTGCTTCATGGGTATCCGATGAGAAAGCGCATGGATGGGATCCTTTGTAGGTCGTGTCAACGGGAAAGCGCGGCTGAAGCCTGGTGACCTGGTGCCGGCCTGCTCGTGGAACTTGAAGCTGGCACCTCCATCACCCGGATGTAACCAGTTCGTAGCCTGACCGCTTTTGAACTGCCAGTCCTTGGTCGCCCAGAGCTACCGTACCGCGGAGTCATCACCACGGGTCTTGAGGCCTTCACACTCTCATCACCCAGCTCCCTCTGCCAATTCTCAAAGATTCTGTGAAAACCTGCAGCACCGACAAAAGCTTCCGCCTGAAAACCAACATAAACGGCTCAGCGGAGGCCGCCTGGAACCAGCTGGGTGCCTCGCTGCAAGTTCCAGCAAGTCACCCTCGTCTGCTGCAGGTCCAAGCTGCACATCAAACGGCCTCCGTCTTCCTCCAGGTTCTCGATGAGATTCAAGACTCCTTGGACATGTGGCCCATCATCTGCCTAGGCATGCGACATCGTCACAAGTGCGGCGACACGCTCAAACAAAATGGCTCTGCTGCTTTCAAGATGCGCGAGCTCTGGGGATCCTTAGATGCGCTGGAGGATCCAATCTTCTTCAGCTTCTACTAAATTGAGGCTTGTGCAAGCCAGGTGCTCCAATGAAAAATCGTGGTCGTGAGCCTGCTGGTAGCGCAGGTCTTCAATCCTGGTATCCCCTTGGAGATAGCCTGAACCAGCATAAGCAATGTTTCTTGTGCCATCTGCACCAACAAAACTCTTCTTGTGAGCACAGAGAAGCTTCCAGGAGTTCCTTGGTCTGCAGCCAAGCAACGCCATGGATGTAGATCCAAGTGGAGGTTGTTTTTGGTCGGCATTCCGCCAGCTTGCGTTGCTCGATACAGGCACCACCGATCATGACCTCGCAGCTGCTGAATGCCAGAAGCCCCCCTCTTATGAACCAGATCAAACCGATGCTTTTGCGGCTGCTGGGCTCACCAGGATGCTTTCACCCAGCACAATCTCAAACGCACGAAGAACATTGCCTCAGGTGTTGGAAGCGCAAAGAAGCGGCTCTACGGAGTACTGCGCGACAAGAATCCAGACAAAGCTTTGGTGCGGCTTTGGCGGTTGCGCAGTATCTGTGGAGAAATTATGACAGGATCTGGCGGCAATCCATACCTGCAGCTAGCAATTCCGTGGACTCATGCCACCGCATGTACTTCGACGTACATTCGAGAGATGTTGAGGGGGGCTGCGCATCATAGTATCGGCCAGTGTCCGTGTGCGAGAGGACACTCCACGTCGTTGGCTCTGCGCGCTGGAAGCCCGCCCTGGCACGTAATAGATCAGATGCGGGACGTACCGTGGACTCTTCCAGCAAAGCTGCACGTTGTCTTCGAGATAGCTCCAAATCTCATCCCTTGTCCGCGTACACTCTGCATCCGAGAGAACGTCGCGGAAGATAACAAACCCATACCTGACGCATGGCTGTGCCGGATTGAAAAACACGAAACCTGCCTCCTCTCATGGCGACCAAGGCTCTCAGCCATGAACTTGCAGGCTCCATGGGCATCATCCACCCTAAGATAACAACCCAGATTTTTGCAGGCACCCAAAAACTAGTTCAGACATGTTCAGATCACATGACAAGACAGGGAATCCCACTGCAGACTTACATCAGAACAGACATCATCACTAGTGCAAATGCATGTGCTAATGATGCTGTTACATGCGTTTGTTGAAATTGGTTGGGGATGGTGAACTCTCATCGGGTCTTGGGTTCGCTTCAGTCGCTGTGTCGGTGCTGCAATGCCTACATGCGTCAATCCAGGAATGTCCAACCCTCATTGACTCATCACACAGATGCACAAGAACCAACTCCATTTCGACAAGTCGGAAGTGCCCCACGGGCCCACGGGGAATCAAAGCGTTGGGCCCATGATGTTCATGGACTTCAAGGGCTGGTCAGAAGACATGTCATGACACAAAGCAGTAAGCAAACGCAAGTAGTAGTGGCCCTGCGTCGCATGCCGAAAGGCCTACTGGGCCTAACAGACGACTGAAACTTGAACGGTCTGCTGCTCGGAATCTTGCTGCAGGGAGGCGAAAAGGTAAGAATGAAGCGGGAGTCCAGCTCGTCACGTGGAATGCACATCGGTGGTGGATAGGATGCCAGTCCTCGTTTGCTTGTGGAGGGCACCTCAAGCAGCGCGGAAGCTGTCCCTGACTGTGTGGAAAAACTCCGACATGCACCAGACTGTAGAGAATGCATTCAACAGACTGGCATGAGGCCGCAACAGACAGGTTGGCAGCCTTGACTACATCTGCGTGCTCCTTCTTGAGCTTCTTTAGAAGATCATGCGCCTGCCGGCCCCACGAGATCAACACGATTCAACAAGTGAAAAACGACTTGCACAAATCCACTTCCGTTTCCTTTCGTGGTGGACGGTGTGGCCGAGCCGTGCAAGTTCTTGAACAGAATTTGTTGAAGAGGGCCTGGTTCCGAATTGCTCGTTGCTTCCCCGCAGCTTCCAGTCTGACACCTTCTCTCGGGTCAACTCTGCCGGTTGCTATGTTTCCGCCCACTAGTGACTCGTTGGCTGGCACCCGAGGAAGATAGGACCCACTCTCAAGTCGACACAGGATTGGTGACGGCGACGGGCTGGAGTCGGGCATAATTTCCGGTCCCACGAAACGCTCATCGGTGGTGACTTGGCTTTGAAGCTGCCACCATTATCTGCTCGGCTACCAGGGGGAAAGCTGCACAGCCAAACATTCGGCACAGCTAGGGAAGTATCCGTGCATCATGCACTTCCTAAACCGCTATCCAGCCCGTGGAAAGAAGATAACAAAAAGGGTAGTCGGGTACTTACTCAGCAGTGGCGAGCTTCTCTCAACATTCTGGTTGGCTGCTGGGTTGAGTCTTGAGTGCGCAAACAAACACACCGGCAGAGAGAGGACAATGCATCACATATTCCTTTTTACATGTTGGGGGCGTCAAGAATCAGGGGCTGGATCATTTTATCCGCCGTGCAGTTCGATGTCAAAGTCATCCTATCCTAATAGCCTTGGTCTGCGGGGGGTGACGATGCAACCCATGTGCTTGTCCAGCCTTTTGGCCAATCTGCTTGCTAGTTAGATTTTGAACCCAGAGGCTGGCTGTCTATCGTATACAAACCGACCCAGGCGACACTAACGAACAAAGGATGCAAACAGAGCATTCACAACATACGCGATGGACCAGAATCAACAGCACGTGGAACAGGACTCCAGCAAGCAGCGCCGCAGCCCTGAAGGCTTGCCGATTGAGCAAGGAACCAGTAACTAGCCTTTATGCCCCAAAAGGAGCTTCTACTGATTCTACTATCCCCTTGTCCAGGCCTCGGGCTTGCCAGATTACTACAGTTTTGCCGGATACAATCCTCCTTATACCCCGAATCTAGGATCCTCGTGCATCTATGTTTATTTGGGGGCTTATGACCACATAATACCACAAAGACGAAGAAGAAGGCACTATGGTTTTGCAGGCTACTTCGCTGGCACCCCAGCCCCCCCAAACCGTACAGTCCATGAGTGACACCAATGTGGCCTGCCTTCACCAACTTCTCTCGGGCAGCACCAGATTCTTGGTGTATCAAGAACGTTGGAAACCGCCGTCTGGACTGCATACTAGAACACTCTGCTACATGCATGATCCACAGCCACGTGTCTCGCCAGGCTCTGAACGAAGGCCCTCTGGACTTCGTAAGCAGCATTGGCTTGCTCAATGGCAGTGCCCCAATCCTGTCGCACAAGGGCTGTGCTGAACGTTGCGCCCACGCAGCTTGAACGGCTGAAACGAATGGCAGAGCATGCCGTCCGGATAACGAGATATCCTCTCTTTTAACCTGTCCCGCAGCACAGCAGCGGCCATGCTGTGAATCTCGTCCCACATTACAGATACTGGATCAAGTGGTGACAGTGTAAAACCAGCTTCTGCATGAACCTTGATTGGCTGAATCTTGCCCCGTGAGCGTGCCTCCACTGTCGGGGCAGCCGCCGCGGAACAGCTGAAGCTGCATGCTCCATCTTTCATGTTCTATCCACGACTCATGCATCAGCCACCTACGGCAAATGCTTCTAAATGCTCCACTGCTTTCTCTTGCACCTCGTGTCGTGCCCCAAGATGCACGCTACGCTCACACTCGATTTGTGTCGACAGCCAAAATCCATGGCTCAAAGGACGACCTTGACACCTAACGTTGGCCTCATCGCACTGGGGTATGTTTGTCGTCTGAGATCCGCACAGACTAATCGTATCTCACCTTCCGGGAGGCGCAATCGAGTCACCTTCCTGGTTCCAGCTCCGAGCAGTCTGTGCCACATACCGACACTACTGTCCGCGTGCAGTCCAGAGGCTGGCTCGTACTCGGCAGATTATTGATAGTCTGTGGGATTTCGCCAGTCCAGCTGGGCAGCCGCAAACGGGAATCACATCGACGTGTCAGGTGTCACTCTTGGAGGCCTTTTTGAACTCAGCAGCTTCAGGTCGTGCTGCTCCAGAGCGTGGGAAACGAGTCCTTTAAGCTTTCTCGCGACAACTTCAGCTTCCACCTATTACATGCCTCATGATACCTCATGTGCAGTCGGCTTCCTTGGAAGTCTTCGAGTTCTATGCCGCATCCCTGCAAGCAAGCCGTGTCGATATACGTGAGTTGGGGCAGTGTGCTGTTGCCTGGTGAGGACACTGAAGCACGGTCTGGCACGATGTCGAACCGTCTGGGTGCAGGTAGCCTCAGTTTAAAGCTTGCAGCATTCTGCTGAGTTCCTGTCGTTCAAAAAAGGCACAGAGCTTCGTGCGGTATGTTCTGCGGACAATTTTCACAGATGACACCATGGCTCCATCATGCTGCAGGCGCTTCGCTCCACATGACAAGCGCAAGGACAGCTAGGACACGGCGGGTGCAGAACATGTGAGTTCAGAGGTAGTCGAGCAATGTAAACAGAAACATCGATAAAGGGATAGGACCGTGTTCGGTGATGAACGCTGCATTCGAGATGACACGTGGACCTGTGCTTCGCGCAGCAGCCGCCATCTGAACTCCGGGTGCGACTTGCTCCGTGCAGCTTTTTGCCCGACTCACGAGGCACGAGCATTAGCAGGAGTCACGGTTTCTGGGGGAGCATCTCATCTAACCCCGCCCGCGACCAGTGAGACCGAATCTGTGCTATGTTGGCCGAAACTGAGGGATACGAGTGATGCTAGGTCTGCTAGGTAGTACACGATTCAGATCGGCATCGGGTGACCAGTTGGGTCTTGCCCAGGTGAGACTCATCAGTTCGCCAAGGGCGAGACTGTGACTATGAAACATGCTACTATGAAACGCACTCCTGGCGCGGCCTGGACTTCGTGCACACTCATGGCCATGAGCCGGGAGGCAAGTGAGACCATTGTTGCACATGCTGAATTAGGAACGGTGAGGAATTACAGTGTGCTTCCACACGATGAGTGAACAGGATGAAGTGGTGCAGCGAATGCTCCATGCCTGGAATTTCCGCCGCTCCGGTCTGGTGTCGAATTCTCCCAAAAATTATTGCTACAGCGGGTCGGATAGTTGGCATCTTTGGCGTAGTCTGACCCTCTACGAACCTCACTTCACATCACTTCTTTCCTCCTTTCCCAATGCCTGCGACTGCCAGGGTTGACTTCTCCATTTTTTTGCCCGAATACGAAGAAGTGCCTGGAGGCTTCAGGCTTCTGCCGCCGACAGGAGCTGGGGTCTTCAGGGCAGAGCTCTTGCCGAGAGTACCTGGGCGTTGCAACGCTTTGGGCACTGTTGTCCCTTTCATGTGCCGAATTCCTGCTGAAGTGAAAGCGAGGCCAAGCATGGCCAAGCCACGGTCCATGGTTGCAGACAGCTCGTCCAACTTTTCCAGCAAGGCCGCGCCCTTCTTGGCACCCTGAGCCTGAATGAGTTTCCACGCTGGAGACAGAGCCGTGGGACCGAGCCTTTTGCCCGAGCCCCATGCCCCTGTACCACTCGGTTGAGCAGCAGCCTTTGCTTTGGCACCTGTTGCCGGACTGAGAAATGCTGAAAAAACATCCTACCAAAAAACGACAAAATGTGGCGGATCGCGGAAAGCCCTGACTCTTCCATCTCTTAGCCTTGCTTAACGTGTCGAAGTCTTCACCGCAGCCTGGCACAGGTGGCACAGGGCTCGAGGGTGGCCGCCCGCTGCCGGCACTGGGCGGCCGAGCCGGCGCCTCAGTGGAAAACATCCGCCGCTTCCGCTGTCCGCTCTTTCTGAAGTCTCTCGCTCTCTGTCTTGCAGAAGGGTAAAGGGCTCTCTGGCTGTCCCTCCCTCCCTCTCGGAGAGCTGAGGCTTAAGGTCGCGGCTGCAGATATCTTTCTTGGAGGAGGTGGCGGAAGCTTCTTGGCGGGCACCTGTGCAGTGTCTTGCAAACCAAACGTCACCCCATAGCTCCTTCGCCGACGAGGCGCATTCCCAGCTGCCCCACCGTAATCATCATCCTGTCGGACGTCGATGTTTGTATATGCATTGATCGTGAGTGCTGGGACGGAACATACTTGACCAACAATTTTTCTATGTCAGTGTTTCGGATGCGAGGTTTGGGATTCAGGGTGGAGGACTCGCGGTTTCATGTGGTCCAGGTGTTTGGAAGGAGCTTGTGGCATGCTCCGTGGGTGAAAACTGTATGTGCAGGCTTTTCTAGTTTTTGGGTTTGGGAGGATCTGGGCAGGCATGGCATCCCTCCACTTGGTCTGTCGAGGTGAAAGAGCGAGCTGACCAGATGGAAGCACAAACAACTGCAAGACCATGACGAACAGGTAAAGGACCACCGCGATATTGCGAGCCTTTGCCAGCATCATCTGAAGCGGGTTTTGGCTTTCTCAAGGCAGGCACGGGTTCCAGGCCACAAGTAGGGGCCTAAATCGAAGAGAAGGAGAACTTGGAGCCTAAGGTTTCGGCCTCACGCTGGAAGGGTCAAGGTTTGAAGTCAAGTGCTGCAAGCGGCCCGCTGCACTTTAGTTGCATCCACGGGCTTCTGCCATCTTCATCGAGATTCACTCGTGAGTCAATCGCAAACAGCCACGACTTAAAAGCTGCGGCACCGTATACAAACACATATACCTAGTGTCAGGTCTGCATAACATTGTGCGTATAATCGTTTGTAATTTACAGTCGCGTATGTATACGTACAAATATTCAAGAATGTTCAAAAATTCAAAATGTTCAGTCGGCAACCCCATATTTTATTACTCAACCAGTGAGGCCTTAACTCCCGCCCGAGAGCCTTAAGCTTGAGTCCAACAACCTGACCTCCCTCCCGCTTTGCTCGAGGAAGGTCAGCAATGATTCAGAATAATCTTTGGTCTGGCAAAGAGCACAGGCCTCGAGGTCATCCATGTCTAATCTGCCCACAACCGAAGCATGCCTGGATTCACAAGCCCCACAAACATGCCCAAGCAGCGACATCCGATGCCACAGTGCAGCTCTGATGCGACGAAACCGTCTTCTCTCCGCGTGGCGTGTCTTGCTCATCGGGCACACTGTCAGGGTGCCGTTCACCTCGCAAGTTTGCATTGAATAACTAAAACCCACGTGGCGAAGAGGTCGCGACGACGATGTTAATTTGAACGTGCTCTGGGCCCCATGACAGAATGCTGACCACCTTGCTCTTGCATCTTCCAGCGCGTCCTCCACGGCACCATTTCTTGATCAAGGCGATCCAGAGACACGGTGCAAGCATGTGGGGTCAGTGTCAATCAGGTCAGTGCTCGCCTCCCACTCTGGTTCTTTGCCCAGGGAGGAAGGTGCAGCCGCAACCTTTTGTACCTCAAGTCGGGCTTGCTCACTCCGATGCCACAAGCTCGCAAGTATTGCCGATGCCTCCTCTGCATTTAGGTGTGGAAGGACTTCCTCCAGGACTTTCAAGGTCGAGGCGAGGGAGGCCTCAGTCAAAACCCTCTCGTCGCCGAGTCGATACCACACTGCCCGGCCTCCAAGCGCTTCCTCTTTGGATTGAAGCTGGCGGGCTCGTGCGTCCCGCTCTCGAGCTGAGCATGCCGAAAGGCCTGGCAGGTGGGCTCAGCCTTTTTTGGGTGTTTGCAAAAGCTTCTGCGAGCCTCACCGCCGAGCTGTGATGCCAGCATTCCCAGAGGTCGCAGGAGGTCTTCGGCGATCTCCGCCCGACGTGCGGCCCGCTCCGAGCGCGACCTTCGGCAAGATAGTTTCACGGCGACAATAAAAGGTCAGAGTGTCTCAAGTAATTAAGGACATTCCAGGTGCGCTGCAGTGCTGTGGCGGCTTGATCCAGAGCTGGTGCGAGTTCGACCTTCGCACTGGACAGTACGAGATATTGCACCACCAGCATACAGCTGGGATGCCAAAGCAAACCCTTCCCGAAATCCATTTCTCGATGCATTTGGCCCACCAAACACAAGCTAATCTGAGACTATCTCACATCTATAGTGAGCATCGTGACTTGATTGGGCTTGCATAGGCACATGAAGGCTCTGCGGCCTCTGCAGCACGGCGCCGCAGTGCAGCTTCACGTGCCATTGCCCGTTGCACCTGCGCTGAACCATGCCCAAGCCACGGAAAATGTCCAGATCAGGTGGCACAAACAAAACTCAACCAAGCCTTTTCGCGATTCGCATCGCGGATTTCATCGATGTCGGCGCTGAGCTGATCTTCGAAGGCATTCTCTGCCTGTGCGAAAGCGAAAGCAACAGAGACAGAGAGAGAAGGGCAGCGCACGTACTTCTGCACCGATCTACCGACAGGACGCGCTATCCGCCATGAAGCGCCTCCTCCATCTGCTTCTTAAGCTCGGGCGTTTCTTCCAAGGGCCCCTGCACATCATCGGAGCTCTGCAACTTGCAAGTGCCGTCATGAGACATTAGAGACTTCAGACCTGCCTCTTGGATGTCCGTATCTTTCGCATAGGGACAGTCCTTTCTTAGGCGACCTTCCAGCATGCGGAGCGAGTACCTCAGAGCAGTGCATGTTGAAGCCTGTCGATGAGCCGTCCCAAAACTGAACCCCTGACCTGATGCTTTTGCTCATATGTCCATGGCACAGTATAGTGCCTTCAACTAGTTTCCGTACTTGACCTCTCATGCCACCACAAACAGATCTTCATACCTGTTGCGTTATACATACGAACTGTCACCGGGGCACAGCAGCACGGAGTGCTTCTGCTTGAACCTTGGTGCCAGCGGGGAAGGCATCATGAGCACGCTGCGCTGCCCTTGCTGGAGATGCAACAGGACCGCAGCGAAAAGCTGCGGTAGTCCCCTGTTGTTCTGGCTCTCATACTGCAGCGGAGTTGTAACGTTAGCAACCTTACCTACGTTGCCGCGTTCGTTGTCATCGCGGCTGCTGTAAGATCGCTGTTGCTGCTGATGCTCGTATGGGGCTTTGCTCTAATGATGCATGCATACATACATACGTACATACATACATACATGCATACACTACTTACTTACATACATATATACATACATACGTACATGACATACCGATGTACAAACATACATTCATACATACGTGGTATACTGATATACGTATAAGTATACTGTATACTAGTACTGGTACAGCTGCATACGTATGAAACAACTAAACCAATTTCATTACATTACCTTACAGACATGGCATGCCATTAGCATTACATCAATGCAGGCGTCTCGCCCATTCATGCACGCATGATCTGTTTATCTTTATCAGTCTATACCATGTACACACCTTACGGCATGGTAACTGTACACAATGTTTGCAGCATGGCCCTGAACCCTGATGAACCATGTAAGGCCCGAGCTCCGCCGTGACTGGGAAGTTGATCATATCAGCATGAAGTCTCCGAATGATCTTCAAGGACCTTGGAAGTCCAGAGGTCCAGAATTAGCTTCCATGTTTGGCACATGTGCACTGGAAGCGTCTCTGAGGCTCCGAGGGCGCTATAACATCCCGTACACTGGCTCAGGAATCCAAGGTGCTGGAAAGTCAAGGCCTTCTTCTCCCGCGGCTCGGCATACCACGCCTTCAGATGACAAGGGTCAAATCCTCTCGACCCTTTCTGAGGAAACCCAAACAAAGCCTCTCCACTGGCTCGTCAGGCATGTGCCGGCCAGGCCTTGTTTATGCGCGCCTTTTCTTGGCGGACCACGAGCGCGGCAGACCTCAGCTGCCCAGGCTTGGCAGCGACGGTGCCGTTATGTGCCACTATACCACATTAAAGATGCCTCTGCAAGTCCAAACAGTTCTGTGATCGCGGCATCAAAACTCGCGTTTGTTCTTGGAGACGCCGTCTTTCACTTTCTAAAACTTCCACCTCACCCCACATAGACATCGCACAACTGGGCCAAGCATTGGGATCGGGTACTAGGTCGACAGAAAGTCCTGCAAGAGGGGTTCCCACCGCAGAACACACAAGCAACTCGCGAGGAAAGGTCCCGCCGTTTCGGACACTCCGTTTGGAATTCGGCATCCTGTAAACCAGCCTCTTTCTCCGTGGCTTCTGCTTGTTCTTTCCGCATCTTGTCCAGCTCCTCCTTCAAAGGGAACGGCTTTGCACCCGTGCTTTCGACTCTCAGATTATTGCCTCTGTGTCGTCCATGACCTTGCGAAGAGCAGCCATCCGCTCCGTGGCATGAGCCTTGTCCCTGACCGAACGAGCTTTGCAGCTTGGCGAGAATGTGTGCCCAGCAGGACAAGCGAGCCTGTCACGTTGTCTGCGCCATCGTCTATGGAGAGCCTGACTAACCCTTTCCAGGCTCTCCTTCATGTGAACATCGCGGCGTCGCATCTGCTCCTGAATAGAGGGCGAGGTGTCGAAGCTCGCCTTGTCCAACTCATGTAGCACATGGTCCGAGGTGCCCTTTGACTAACAGATGTTGTTGCAGAATGCTCCTTCATCTTGATGTTGATGCTCCTTTCCCAGTCGTACTCCTGCTGGCCTGCGGCGAGATACTGTCAAGGAAACATCAGCCGAGGACGCTGCAGCTGTAACAAATAACATTTGAGCGGCCCTCGCCTTCAAACATGATGAAGTCGCGCTTGTCATCTTTGCTCATCCTGGTTGGCGGCGCTTATGCTGGTCGCAAGCCAAACGAAAAGCTTCGCAGACCCACTGTCACGTTTCATATTTCAGTATCAAAACCTACCAGGTCCACGGAAAGCAAGCCGACTCAACCCCGTCCCAACAAAACTCCGAGCAAGTCAGAACGACGAAACGCGAACCGTATCCATCATCAGAATTCAACATTTACAAACAGAGTGAAGAAGGAAGAAGTAAAGCAGCAAACGAGACAGAGACAACAGCACCTGTACTTGCTGTACGTTGAGTGTTACCTGCAGGCTATTGCACCCTATTGAAAGACTGTCTGCCACCAACGGTCTTCCCGCCGCAAGACCATCCATCTGCAAAGAAATTATGAGTCAGCTCTGCAAAGGGTCAGCTTCGTTGGCTGTTATGGCTACAGGACCGGAGGGCAACTCAGACTCACAGAGATACCCTGGAGCAACTGAACGGTTCTGCGATAACAAGTGCTCAATCGCAAGCTGAGTTTCTTGTCTTCGTCAGTCGCGATCGATCGAAGAGCCGGATCGACTTGCGGCCTTGCCAATATAAGTTATTAGTTGAAGGCCAAACGGCGACGATCCAATGCGGTGGCAAGCAGGCGCAGAGTTAATTCTGAGCGCATGGCGGGCTATCTTTCTCCTCTTGGAGACGTTTTCGCAAAGATTCAAGGCACGATTTCAGCTCAGGCAGAGCTGCAGCAGTTGCAAACCTGGCAATTGCGAGGTATATGACTTTCAACTGCCATCGTCAGGTACAGTACCCTGAGGCTGCTGCGCCAGGTCCTTTTCTGAAGGCCGGGCCTTAATGACGAACTTTCGGACTCTCCAACTAACTCCACGTCTTGGTCACCGTCCTACTAACACAGCAAGACGATGCCGAGTTGCACTGGCCGGATTGTCCGGATCAAACCTGCAACAGGAGCACCAGGTCACCACAATCGAAACGCCCTTGTCTACCCGCTGTCATCAGCATCAGGCATTACTGTAGGGCATCCTAGCAAATATGAGTCACCGAATCCTGAAGCTAACGGAGTTCGCCTGACAGTCTCGTCCGGCGGTCGCAAGGCCACGACTTGGAGGGACCGAAAGCAGGTGGCTGCAGTAGCGGAGACCTGACGGTCAGGAGGCATGCAGGCTCCAGCCCCTTACGAGTGTTCAGCAGCCTCCGCCAAAGCTTCTTGTGGCGACATGCTCGAAAAAGCCTCGCTCCAGTCGCATGCTACGATAACACAAGAAGACAAATCCTTGCGATGTTCCGGCCTCTTGGCTAGGAAGCTGCATCCGTAGCAACTCCTTATGTCACCCAAACACTTCCATGTCGCATTGGTGTGGGCAAGGTGGCACTCAGGCAATTGCGCGGCTGGCGGCTTCCGTGGGATCGGGACCCAGTGCCTTTTGCAGGGCTTGCTTCCGTGCCGCCACCTGGCACGTAGAAAATTGTAGACTCCAAGTTCCCACGCAGGATCAAATGCTTGCCATGCCTTCTGGCGAGCAATATCGCGCCGGGCAGCCTCGTTCAGCATGCGCTGAGCAGTCCGATCGACAGCAGCTCCCAAACGCTGCCAGCATCGTGCCTTCGCAGCCTGCCTCTTGTTCCGAGCTGTGTCTGCAGCCAGTGTGACCGACCTGGGTAAGAGATATCGACCAGGGTTCCGAGAGCTTGCGCTACGGGCTGCCTGAGTGTGCTTAGCCTTGGGCTCTGCAACAGTAAGCAATTGCTGCACCTTCGTAGGGTCCTTCGTCTCTGCCACCTGGATTGATCAACTGGCTCGGCCAGCGCTGCTTGCAAGCCATTGCGTGTGCACCGCCTTTGCTCGGAGTTGAACTCTTTCCTTCAGATCTTTCTCCTGGGCCTCGCAAGACACTTACTTTCCTCCATGCTAGGCAGGGAGCACGTCGAACAAGGTTCATTGCCACGATGACAAGAGCCTCTATCTTTGCCAGCGTAACTTGTGTCTCGCGGTCGAGGTCCTGGCACGACTTTGGAATGTCTGCTAGTGCACGAAAACATCACCATTGACATGGCGATGGTGAAGACGTAACGCGGGCGTGCCTCGTCAATCCTTTGATGCTCGGCCTCCAAGACAGTCTCGAAGTCCTCTTCAGTCATTGCGCGGGCAACTCAACTTCGAGCTCCGTCTGAGCAAGCACTCATGATCATGTTGATTGGACGGGTGAGGCACTACACCCTCCACCTGGATCTTCCGTCGCAAACCCGAAAGCTGCAAATTTCCTTCCAGCATATCCTGGATGCTCCTTCATAGGTAGCCACACCATAACACTAACAACTCATACCAAAGTGAAGTTGGCAAAGAGACAGCGGCTTTAACAGTGAACGCTGCATTGTGTAACTTCGATCAATCCGACCTTCCCATGCGTGCTTCGCAGCAACAAAGGGCCGACTTGGGGAGAGCATGACCGCACATGACCGCAAAACAGCTCCCACCACACCAGCTCACTACCGGTATCTTGCCCACGCCCAGTCTGACTGTGTCTGACTACGACTCACAAATACATGTCCGTCATCTGCGACTTTGGCAGACACCGTCGGCACCATGCGCAAAACGACTAGCTTGCCTCTAGTCGTTGTTCGAACAAAGAGGCATCAACATGCTTTTGCGTGTCCATGCTTGGTGAGATCCATGCCCCTTCCCTGCCACCGCGCAAGAAGTTTGAGGTGTGCCTCAGCTTGGGCAGAAGTCTGGCGTGCCTGACTGTGAGACAGCTTGTATACATTATTTCCGGTCATTGCTCAGCTGCGCATCTTGTATGACCGACTTCAGAAGGGTGGCATCACCTTGAAACAAGCATCGCATTGAATGATCAGCGCCTTCAACCTCCACGAGACGAATGCCAGTGGCAACTGCCATCTCCCGACTGTGCTCGATTGGAATGGTCTCATCTGCCGTGCCATGCATGATAATCACCTGCCCCGAATAGTCCGAGGACTTGAGTCTTTCCGAAATCAGCGCATGCACTGTCGCCAAGCCATTTTCTGGTGAATATGCTCCAAATCGAGACATGGCTGCAGAGTACGCAGGCGCTATTAAGACAGCTGGCCCTTTCCAAAGACCCCTCGCTATGGCAAGGGTGGCCACGGCACCGCCCCAAGAGCTGCCAATCACCACGCCGTCTTGATTGCTAATGGAGTTCATTTCCTCAACCTGACAGCTTAAGCATTGCTCAAGCGATGTCTCAATGCTGCGTGACAGCAAGTTCCAGGGTGCGGTGAAAAGCAGGTTTGCAATAGCATTGCGGGCAATGCTGTGGCTTTTGATTGGGTTGGCCACAGACATGTACATGTCCACGCAAACTACAGTGTCATAGTTCTCCTGCAGCCACCTGTGCTTGCGAGCCCCTGGGCCAGACTCGAGGCCATGGAAGAAAAGTATCTTCATGTTGTACCTAGCTGAGTCCGCGCTTTCTCGAGGTTTCGAGCCGAAGCACACGAAAAGTGGTGAAGCCCCCCTCTGTGGTTCTGTGGCATCAAAACGACTAATTATGAAACTTTGGGCGCTTGACTTCGGCTCGTCGACATGCCAGCTGGAAAGCAAGCAATTCCTTCTCCAGGATCTCCCAGCAAGAAGCCAAGCGAGACCTCACGGCTGCGGGGCCATGCTTCACAATCCGGAGTGAGATTTTAAGCTCTAAGATGCAGGCACATCCGGACGTTTCCGGCCAGTTTTTTCTTCTTGGTCGGAATCCCAACTGTCTGGTGCCTTACCGAGTTGCTGTCAGCAATCTGCAGAACTGGCCACCACATCTCTGAGAAGGAGGCCACTAATCGCAAGGCTTCTCGGAGCAACGGAGTAGTCTGAGATGCGTTGCGCTGCAGAGTTACTGACGCGCCAAGATCCTCAAATCAAGCGGAACCCACACTGTCACACAGTACGACTAGAACGTCCATGAATGGATGTGAACGCGCTGGAATCCTCTTCTTCCGGCTCAGGCTTTGCAGGGCCAGCTGCTTGCGCGACTGATTTGGCGGCAGCAGCGGCATCGGCAGCTTCGCGAGCCTAGCACGGCGTGTGAGCCGAGACATTGCCTGAATGAGCTGAGAAGGAAGGAAATCCTAATTAGGCTGCAGCAGGACTGCAAAGCAGGGCCCCAGAAGCAAGGAGCAGACTCGACAAGTCCCACAAGACTTCCCAGGGTGGCGAGCCTTCGCCTGTTCCCGCTCAAGCTCCTGAGCCACACGGTTGCGTTCAAAGGCCACCAGTGCAGCACGTCCAGGTGCGTGCATCTCAATATTTTCTAACTGACGCCACAAAGCTCCATTGCAACGTAAAGCCCATTCCGCAACGAGACCACCGATCGGAAAGGCAGGCACAGTCCTCCAAATATGCCTTGCGCTTCTCTTCTGGGCTCAGAAGTTCTGTAGGCATGTCCAAACCTGTCCAAGCTGTTATAGACCGGACGTCTCAGCTCGACTGTTTAGCACCTTCTAGCGTGCCATAGTTCTTGTTTAGGATGCCAAGCACTTTGCATCCTTCCAGACGGCTGTCAGTCACCATGCCTTCTTCTTCCTCTTCGTTTGCTTCTTCTGGCTTCGCTTGGGGTTCAGCGATCGCAGCTGGCCTTTGTCAGCACCGTGTCTTTCGCGAGGTGGTGTGTGTTCTTGTTCGGTGACGGGCCTATGATACTAGCACTTGCACATGAGACTCGACAAATGAACGCATGCATGGCTGGATGACTGAATGGCTGGCTGGCTGGATACATGTAGGAACGTAGGAATGCATGCATATGTAGGCATGTACGTATGTACCGTGTGCGCGAGTGGGTCTATACGTATGAATGTGTTTCTGCATGTGTATGTGCGTACGTATGTTTATGCATGCATGTACGTATGCATGTATGTATGCATGTATGTATGTGTGTGTACTCCCTATATCTCCATAGAAAATATGTATACATACAGATGCAGATATAGATATCGCTAGAGCTATAGTTAAAGCTACAGATACAGACATAGATGTAGAAAAAAATAAAGAGCCAAAGGTAGACATAGGTGTTTGGGTGTATATGTACATATATAGATACATGTTTAGCTATCTGTTCAACCATATTTTTATGGCCATTAGGATTTCGATTTCGGTAGTGATTATGTTTACTATTTACACTATTAATATTTGTGCTGTTAATGTTGCTTTTGTCGTTATTGTTGTTGTTGTTGCTGTTCTTGTTGCTG